TGAATCACTTGGTGTCCTCAGTCCCTAAACGGCTTTTAAGTGTTGTGAAAAGGAACAGCAGCATCACACTGTGGTAAACGCTTTACTGTCCCAATTTTGTTGGAATATGTTGCAGCATCAGGATTGAAGTGAGTGTTTATTTTGAACAAAGAATAAAATACAAATCACTATTTTCAGTTTTGATTTGATGTACGGGGGCGGCTGTGGCTCAGGAGGTAGAGCGGGTCGTTTCCTAACTGGAAGATTAGTGGTTCGATTCCTGGCTTGTCCAGTCAAAGTGTTCTTGAGCAAGACACTGAACCCCCAGTTGCTCCCGGTGATGTCACTGGTGTGTGAGCGTTTGGGAGTGTGAATGGCCGAGTAGTGTAAAAGTGTAGTAGTAGTGTAAAAGACCATTTACCATCCCAACTTTTTCTGATTTGGTGTTGTATGTATCATGAGATAGCTCAGGGATTATGTCCAAAGCAGATATCTACCATGATTAGAAGGTTGAAGTAGAGGCCATATAGGCAGGAAACCCAGACTTAAATCTGTGACAATTCTTACTGATGAAAAATAGGGGGGAACAGTTTGTCAGCCATTTGGATCATCATTTATCAAGTAGTCAGTAGCAGACTGACACTTCAGTACTTGCTTTCACCAGTAGAGGTCAGGTATCTCATGTTTTGGTTGCATGATTCAAAGATCACCTTTTGATGATTCAAAGACTGTCCTGCCAACTAGTGGTGGCTAAGTGCATTTTCCACATTTTATGCAACACAGGGATAGAACTGGTGTCAGCTGCTCACACGTCCTACAGGAGCAGCAATGGGGGCAGCAGCCTTCTGGGAGTGTGTTGCATGTGTAGCATACACTGCCAGTGTAAAGCACAAAGCTTTATAGACTAGTGATAACAATTTCAGGTAAGAATGAATTAATCTTGGAAAGTCTTGGGTGGTGATTTCAGAGTTTGACCAACAACCAGTATCACAGTATTAAACTCCAGATAAAATAGACATGAATTTCAGTCTGTCACGTGGCTATGAGATGTCTAATTACAAAAAGTAAGTTGATATTTTTATTTGTTGTTATTTATGTTTTGCGTTTTACAGAAAGTTAAGATTATTTTTACACTCTTGATGCAAAATTGCTTCAAAAATGCTAATTAAAATTGGCCAGTTTATGGGATTTTTGTGTGTTCTTTGTGTGCTGTGTCTGGGCCAATCAAGTGTGAAACATTCTCACTCTGTTTTATTTCCTCTTAAAGGTCGTTCATGGCAGAGGCCGGGCATCCTGTGTCAAGGGGCTCTGTTTCTTTGGAGTCTACCCTTGCTGGTCAGTCTCTCTTTGACACCTCAAAGGGCTCTACACAGGCAAAGAGCCCCTCCAGACTGGCTAGTGGCCAGGAGGAGTCAAAGGAGGCTATCGGTAAAGAACATTCAGCATCTCCTCCTGCTAAAGAAATGAACTGCAGCAGTCTAAGGTGCCGTGGAGAACCTAGTGAACAGGAACAAAGTCCAGCAGAACATTTTGTGCCCACCAGGGCACCAAGTCGCCCCCATAGTCCATCAGAGTTGCATCAGCACAAGCTAGTCATGAATGCAGCCAGTGACACCCCTCAGGCTGACAGTGCAGTTCAGAATATAAAGATAGCCTCTCTGCCTGTTTACAGGAGTCACTCTGACACATCACCTCTGGTTAAACGGGTAATGCACCTCTACACTCCAGACAGCGAGACTAGTAGACCTGCTTACCTTGAAGGAGATAAGAGTATCCGAGAGGCTGAGAGTCACTCCAGGTTAGCCTGCAAGCAGCCCATGCAGCTGCAGCAGTGCAACGTTGTCACCACTGTTTGCTGTGGGTCCGGCAGTGGAGAAAGTGGTGGACAGCAGCCTCAGAGCAGGTGTAGTTGTATGTCATCTCCAAAGGCAGCAGTCAAAATGGAGGGTGTTGAACAAAAGGACCATCTTCACCTTAACTGTGACAAGACACTTTGTTGTGGCTCTTATGTTCATCATGCCAATTTTGAAGACACATTTGCTGCCTACTGCCATTCTCTGCCCATCCCGGCACCCTCCCTGCTGCTGCCACGCCTGGCAGGCGAACGGCCAAGTTGCAACATGTTGCGTGCAGTGGCACCTCCTTTGGCGACAAACCACCTCACCCTTCCTCGCCTCATCTCCTCTGTCAGTGAGACAGGCCTGGATGCCAAACATCTGCTTCGATGCTGCAACCTCAGCTGTTCTTTGATTAGCTCGCTACCTTCTGGTGCTGAGGCACAAACCCAAAAACCCTTCAGTGGAGAGGAGTGCTGCACCAGTCCTGCTGGCCCTGTCAGACCCATGACTCATGACATGGGAACTATGACAGCCTACAAAGAGCTGAGGGATGTTGGGGTGCAGACAAGACAGACTGTCACACCTCATGTGTTCCCCCATATCTGTGTGGCAAAGAAGAGTAGGAGTGAGTTCTCCTGCAGTCACACTCCAAACACTGGCAATGATGGAGGCAATAAACTGGGTGGTGCCTCCAAATCCCCAGTGAAGGAGGTGAAGTGGGATGCAGAAGGGATGACTTGGGAGGTGTATGGGGCCTCTGTGGACCCTGAGGAGCTGGGTCTGGCCATTCAAAGACACCTGGAGCTGCAGATCAAGGAGACAGCAAGCCGTGCGGCCAAGCTGTCACACCACAAGGCCAACACCTCTGGGCAAAGTGGGGGCACCAGCTGCCAAAGAAAGAGAAGCACAATAATGGGTGCCATCCGAACCCCAGCTTGTTGCACTTGCACCACTACAGCTGTTGACTGACTGAGCAGCAGACTGATGGACAGAACACAACCTGAACACTGTGTACAGTAGCCAGTATGGCTACTCATAACTTCAGCCTCAAACGTCACCAATCTGAGTAGAGGATCAATAAATGTCGCTCTTGTAAAACTTGTAATGAATGAGTGGAGTCAATAAAATGCAATAGCATGAACAAATGTAAAATATCAGTACAGTGACACCTCAACCTAACCCTAGCCCAGCTCAACATGAATACTAAACCTTGGCCACTGGCTGGGTCTAACCCCAACTGTCTCAGAAGATGGTTGCTTCTCCTTCTCCTGGTCTCCCCCCTGGCACTTTTGGTTTTGGGGATTCTCCTCCTGGGTGAGTGGGACTCCATGTGGCATTTGAGGGCTTATATCAGTGGACACCTAGCAGGGGGAGCTAGTGAAATTATCTTAGCTAATCTTAAACCTCATCCTTCGCACCTCAGTCCACCAAACACCTCTATTATAAAACAGCTTTAAGAAGTTTAAAAGTAGCAGACAAATGAACTTATCTGCTTTTTAACATAATGATGAGAAATTGATCATGTTCTTTGGATGTGTTCCATACCTTGGTGCCTCCAAAAAAAAAAATTATACATATTATATGTTGTTAGACCAATAAACCAAATGGTCTTTTATTGATTGATTGAAGGACAAGTGTAGGAAGAATTTAGGCTTTTGAGTATTCAGTAGATTCATCTTCCTTATGGGTCTCGTTAATTATTGTACAATAATTTTGTTGTTGTTGTTGTTGTTTGTTTGTTAGCTTTTTTGTTTGTTTGTTTGTTTAAGGTGTCCTGGGTTTTTTCATGACTATAAGAACATACAAGGACATGATCAATCTACAGAGGTCTGTCTTTACCAAATGTACTGAAAAAGCAGCAAACATCAGTGTTAAGAGTTTCCTCACTTTTCACCAGTCTTCTGTACGATGCCTGGATTCTTATGGGGATAGATCATATCAGCACCGTTGTATCACTTGTTATAAACAATAATAAACAGCCCATGAACAGATCCCATTGAAATACTACAGCAAAATAATGACACAGTGGAGATATAGGGAAACCAAATCTTGGTTACATTTCAATGGCAAGCCACAGCTAAGTTTCATTATCTACCCCAAATGATCCTATGCTGCCTTCTCTCTGGCTTCTGTATTTTTGGTTTATTATCTAAGGATGTTATGGGACTAAGGTAAGATCAGCACGGCTGGTATTTAAGTTTGAATTTATGTATGTATTGTTTTAATGTGCTCAAGCCAACTTCAAAATATTTTATGCTTATTGGCTCTTGAAAAAAATTAAGACGACTGAGCTCTAATTGTATTTTCCTGGAAATTAAAGTGAATTTGTATTTTTGTATTTAACTTTTAAAAGACATTTGAAAAACTGTTTACATTGCAAATGTGGGTAAATATATCAGGCTCAGCTACTGAAAATATGAATTACTTTAGTCATATACTGTAGTTTCTTTTTCTGTGGTATAATAAAAAAACAAAGAAATGGTTTTCAGGGAGGGAGATGTGATGCAGAGGCTGATGGAAAAGCTAATGATCCCAGAGGAGAATAAAACATAAAGAAGTAAAGGATACGTCAAATGCATAGATGAAATTAATTTTTTTTTATTTGTTTAGCTTGCACACAAAAAATTCAATGAATACATTATTTAATTAGAAAAAAAGTTGTTAAATAATAAAAAATTGACCTTTACTTTTTGGGCCTTTTTATTTATGTGTTTATTTATTTTATTTCCTTAATTCTGCACAGTTCAGTTATATTATATACCACAATTATATTTAAAAAAACAATAGAGCCATATACGTATAAAGAAAACATAACATTACTATAGAGCCTTGTGGTACTCCACAGCAGATGGGTGTAGAGGAAGAGCAGACTTTATCAATTTGAACTAAGGCTGATGTATCCTGATGGTAGGAGGTAAACCACTGAAGGCCAGTTCCTGAATGCCCACAACATGCTTAAGGTATGTTGGAAAAGGATGGTGTGGCTGTGTTAGAGACAGCAGAGCTGACTCTGTACTCGGCTAAAAATTGATCAATACTGTATTTGTCCTGGATGCTACATTTGTCCAAGTAGGAGCTTAGTTGAGAGAAAACAGCTTCCTAAAGAAGTGGCATCCACCTTTTGTTAGTGCAACAGGCAGAGGGGCATCTGTGGAACATGAGCAACGTGTTTTTATGTGGTACACAGTAGTGTCATACCATAACCAGCAGTGGCATTTGCCAGTATACCAACAATGAGTGACATCTGCCAGAAGTAGCATGTGTCAGTAAAGCAGCATACCATTAGTTTTTAGCTTTTCAGTCTCAGTGCTGTTATATTTCTATGTCCTTTTGGAATCACTCAAGAAAAACCCTAAGCCTGCTTCAAGAAAGATCATCATGGATCTAAGCCTAGCTACTTCATGCTCCACTACTGTGTCTGTCCAACACATCAGTGTAGGGTCAAACAAACACTGAAACCTCAAGGGGGCACTAGTAGGGCTGTACTGTAGTTATTCTTGACTGTATTTACAGAAGTGAAAGTAATTTATGCTTTAATTAATCACCTCCACTGTGCACTTTACTCTCACATCCATGTACCTGATGTTATTGTCATACAGCATACAGAGTATCAGCTTATAAATTGCTTAATTAAGTATCAGAAATACCACTAATAGACATTCTGGTATGCTGTAAATGTAGACAGGGGTATCATTCATGCTTTGCATCATACTGACAGAGGTGTCCAAACCATGGAGCAAAGACAATAGCGATCCAGATCAGCTGATAGTTAAATACAGGATAAGACAGCAGATTGTCAGACATTCTTACTACTGTTTGACAATTGAACATCAGAGACTGTGTGTATCATTTTCAATTCATGTAAATGGTTCCATTATACTGTATTTAAATCCAAAAATGCAGTTTTTGAATGAATTAAGCATGTAGACATCATTTAATTGATTTTCAATGAAAAAATGTCATTGTATCATTGTATATGATAGTGCAGTATAGATATTAATAATTTATAGATGTGGAAAGTATTCCTACCTTTATTATTTGTATTTCATCTCTGTCTGTTTCAGCTTCTGTGGAGTTAAATTCATTGCCATAAAATCTATGAAGTCATCAACTCTGCTGCTGTGTTAGTTCAGCCTGAGGATTTAGAAACAAAGACAAATGTTTGCCTTAAGTTTAAATGGACAGTGTGATGTATTGAGAAATCTGTTTATGATATGCCATGAGGAACTTTACTCTGTGTCAACTAGCTGAGTTGAAGAACATCTTTAAAACTCACTAGGTGGCATTAAGGGCAAGAAAGGCCTTTGTTTTACTCTTTTGTCTGTATTCTGCATTATTCTTTATGGCTGGTTCAACACAGCAAGTGATACTGAATGTCAACTGAGTGGTTGTAAGTTTAAAGTGTTGTTACCATGTTGTTTAGTTGTTTATCCAAGAGGAACGTGCCAAAATCTTAATGCCAGCAATAAAATTACAGAAAAAGTCTGTGGGGATTGTGTCTTTGTCAAATGAGACCTTTAATTATTTGAATAGAACCACAGAAATGAAAATGTCCTCCATGATACTGATACATATGACGTAATGACACTCCCGCTGAAGACCCAACACAGGCCCAACCCCAACCTGCTGTGGCAAATGCCTGCTTTTCTCCCCAGCCTTATATAGGCCATCAGTATTAGAATGCTTAAAGCAAGGTGGCCCAAAGAGGTTTCATCAAAAATAGAAAAGCATCAGATAATGTGTATACAATATTTAACCTAATCAATCTTCTCAGCAAAAACAAATCAAAACTATAATCCTATCATTAGACACAGAAAAAGTATTTGACAGAGTAAACTGGACTTTCTATTCCAGGAGGTTTTAACTGGGGGGGTATCCCTCTGACCTCCAGTAGCTCCAGGAATAAGCCTTTGATGACCAACAGTTCAGGTGTCTGATGACCAGCAGCTCCAGAGATGATCTTATAGCTTTTACCTTTAACATTCATTCATTCATCTTCTATACCGCTCAGTCCCAAACGGGGTCGCGGTACCTTTAACATGTTTGTCTATAATTTTCTTTCTAATCTCCTGAGACAACTCTCTCCTCAGCTTTCTGTGGTCCATGTTCAGTGTGGTACACACCATGATACCAAACAGCACAGTGACTACTTTTCACCCTCTAAATAGGCAGACTGACTGATTACAAGTCTGAAAACACCTGTGATGCTAATTAGAGGACACACTTTAGTTTAACATGTCTCTGTGGTCACATTATTATCAATCCTTTCTAGGGGTACCATCATTTTTGTCCAGGCCAGTTTCATTAGTTTGGTTTTTAAAATGCTTCTGTTGAACCACAATTCAAAAGCAATGACTGATTTTCATTAGTTAATTTTCAGTACATTTTTATTTATTACTACTTTTTTCAGTTTCATATTATTTCAGTGACCATTGTGAGTTTCTCTTTCTTTAACGGAAGGGTACCAACAATTTTGTCCAAGTGTGTAGTCTACAGAATGAGACTGGTGAAGCGGGGCCATGTAGTGGTGCTGTACTTGGACCAGCTGGCACCCTACCTGCCTCAAGTGTCTTAGGAGGGGGGATTGGGCACTGGAGGCCAAACACCAGCCCCCGGCAGACCCTCCTGGACCCACAGGGTGGCCCTGGTGCGAGGTCAGGCTATCCCAGCGCCTACGGGACTTTAAGTTGGATTAGGTTCTGAGGACGGTGAACCAGCCTGCAGGGGACTGTGTAGCGTGCTGGGGGAGCCAGAGGGAGTGCCATGGACTTGTCATACACAGGGAAATACCACATATGGACAGTTATACACCCAGAGGACAAGGACTGGTGCTGTTGCCCACAGTATAGCAGATGTTATAGGGGGAGGAAACTCTGGGTTGGGGGGTTATGTTTTTGGTTCGTGGGTTCTTTTTGGGCAGGAAACTGTATATAAGTTCATTCTCTGTGAGTCATAAAAGCAGCTGCCAACCTGGGTCTTAAGGGGCACAGAAGCCTGCATAAAAAGAGTGAGGCTAGGCAAAAGCCTTAGAATGCTTAAGATTAGCATTTTTTTATAATCACACAGGAAAACATCATGACCAGTTTTATTGTAGGTATATATATATGTGTGTGTGTGTGTGTGTGTGTGTGTGTTTATGTTTTGGGTGGTGCACCCCCCTCCCAAAGAAAATAAACACAGGACCCGTCAGGTGAAACATGTTATGACCACGGTTATGACCTCTGAAGTTGGCTTTTATAAAAGGTGGGCTATGTCATACAAGGATGTGTGACGCATACAAAGTCACCTCTAAACAGCCTAACTGAGTTTCCGGCAGCTGCTTTATTCCTAATTATTAAAAATATGTATGGATTGAAAGCTTTTTTCGGCTCTTTTAACCAGTGGAACTCAGAGAGACTAGGCGGACCACTTGGATATATAAAAAATAACCGTGCTGGTTTATTCAAAGGATCACAGGTAAAATTAACATTACACGTCCAGGTATCCTTGACTGTAGCAGTAGTCAAAACATGGAGAGAATCAATGTGTGTGAGTGTTGATTATGTGGTGTGTAACTAAAAACATTCTACCATGACATCTAGTGACATGTCATGACATTAAACATAAGAAAATATTATGATTACAATTATGGTTAAACATATCATAATAATAACAATAATCCTCCTGCCTGCTGACAATCAAACTTTTCTCTCTAGTTATCCTTGACCATGTGCACCCTGCAAGAAACTCATGAGAATGACTAAGCATTTAAACTAGACATCCTGTCTCCACTAAACATTTCTAATACAACAAGTATATAACCAATATCTATCTGACTAAAAAAATACCTAACAGATATATAATATATATTATGGCTTTGCGTCAGCGTGTGAACTGGAGCAAGTGTGTGGGTGGAGCTAAAGCGGGTCACGTCTCAAAATGGCGGCGGCCATGAATCGCGTGGATGAAATTCGGAATCGAGTAATATTGGGGGAATTTGGTGTGAAGAATGTAAGTGTTTTCCTAACAGTGTTTTTTATGACACCATGCTCCGCTAGATGGTCCCGAGCTGACCGGCGTGTGACTGGGTACCAGTCCATAACACGTTACAAAGTTACAGTAACGTTAATAAGATTATAGTCTGAGTTTTTTTGTTGCTTTTAGGTTCATACAACAGACTTCCCTGGAAACTACCCTGGCTATGATGACACCTGGGATATGCAGAAGTTTCAGAAGGTGAGTTGGTGTTTTAGCCCTCAGACTGGTGGCTGGTGGTGGATGACGTGTGACGGGTTTGTCTGTGTCCAGTATTTCACCTTGGTCCACGCTGTTCTGCTTCTTTTCTTTTTAAATGAAAGGCTCCCATACACCTCCGCCAATATATTTGCTTTTTGTTGGGATCATTGCCGAACAGACATATTAATATTATGCATTAATAAACCTCCAAGGTTTCCAGGTTTTCTTATTTCCCTCACCACCTTCTCGTTTTGGCTCCTCTCTCTTCATATGGACAAACATTGACAAGCAAGTTCTGGCCTCTTTTGATTACTATGTTCAAAATAAATAAAATAAAATAAAATAAAACAGCTATAAAGCATGTACATGTGCTGTGTATTTATTAAATGCCTGTTGAATCTATCTATAGAATATACAGTATTTCTATTCATGAAATGTATTTATACATATCTGTAAGAAACTAAGAATGGTCAAACTGAAATATTTCATTTTTGTTCCCAAAAAGAAACGGTACATTTCTTTTTATTTAAACCTAGTTACAAATATGCATGTTTTGAACCAGTGGGCACTGAATCAAACTGATGCTTGACCTGATTGTACGTTTGTATTCCCATTAAGTGAAGATCTTTTGTCTGTCTGCAGAACTTCAGAATTGACATAGTGCATCTGGATGAGAACAATATGGAGTTTGACATGGTGGGTATAGATGCAGCCATCGCCAACGCCTTCAGGAGGATCTTACTAGCAGAGGTGAAATTACCAGTCACTGTTTTGTCATCATTGTCTTATTCATACAACTACAAGATGTGGACTAGGGCTACACAGTTTGGGAGAATAATCTAACTGCGAATTTATTTTTTTTAAGCAGTATTGTAATTGCGACTTTATGCGATGCTCCCACCCCCTTCCAACTGGTGTTGCTGAGCTTTGGATTTACCACTCTTCAGTTTGATTTGTATTACAACCCCCATTTCCAGAAAAGTTGGGATATTTTCCAAAGTGCAATAAAAACTAAAATCTGTGACTTGTTAATTCACTTGGACCTTTATTTATCTGACAAAGTGCCAAGAAAAGGCTTTCACAGTTTTCACTGACCAACTTAATTGCATTTTGTAAATATAAACAAATTCATATTTGATGCCTGCAGAGTCATGTTTACCACTGTGTTACATCAGCTTTCCTTTTAATGGCCTTTTTTAATCATTTGGGAACTGAGGATACTAACTGTTTCAGTTTTGCAAATGGAAAATCTGCCCATTCTTGCTGATGCGAGACTTCAGCTGCTCAACAGTCTGTGGTCACTGTTGTCTGATTCTCCTCTTCAACAGGAGACAGACCTGGACTGCAGGCAGGCAGGCCAGTCACACACACACACACACTTAAAAACACTCGCTGCTGGAACATGATGAACCCCTGTACCATCATAGATGCTGGCTTTTGCACCTTTCACTGGTAACAGCCTGGATGGTCCTTTTTCATCTTTGGTGTGAAGAACCCCACGTTCGTTCTTCCTGAAAACAAGCCGAGACGTGGACTTGTGATGCAACCGATATGCTCCTGTATTAATCAGTCCAGCTATCTGCACTGCCACTGTGTAGCTTGAGTACTTGTTTTAAATGCCTAACCACGACATGAAGCTTACAGAGCTCCAACAAATTTAGAAATGCATAAAGTAAACACAGGTAAAACAGTACGTTTCTGTAGGTTCCTCTAGGTGCTTTTTGTACATCAAGTGCTTCCCATGCACAAGTCAACACGCACCCAGTATAGACACAACTTGAAGGCAAAAATATTGTTTGTACAGACAAATCACGTGAGAAGGCAGGCATTTTAAAGTGTCTACACTGAAAAGTGGAGCATAACGTGCAGCTTGGCAGAGGCTTGCACTTGTGTCTACCAGGGGCACACGTTGACTCACACATTGGAAGTGCTTGGTATTCCAAAAACACAGTCTTCCTTTAAGTTAGAACAGATTTCACAAGTTCTCCCAGGCTCATGTGGCTATATTCATCACAGTAGCATGGCAGTTTCTCATGCAGTGTCTCCAGAACATTGTTGCTGGAATGTTCTAGAAAGTCTTATTTCATCTCTGTCCCATTTTTTTGGAGTATTGCAGGCATCAAATTCTACATTTGTTTATATTCACAAAATGCAAGTTGGTCAGTGGAAAACCTTTTTTCTTTGTACTTTTGTCAATTAAATAAATGTTCAAGCAAATTAACAAGTCCCAGATTTTAGTTTTTATTTTGGAGAATGTCCCAAATTTTCTGGAAAAGGGATTTGTACTTGTTTGTCTTTTTTTCCTTTCTATACCTACTTGTTTGGCTATAGGCTAAAAAGTATGAGGTTAGAACTCAAACTGGAACAATAAATCCAGAACACTCCTTTCCATACCACACCTTTACGTTTTTTAAACTGTGTTGTTCATGTAAAGTGAGCCAACAACAGCCACTACTGCTGTCTCCAGCTTTAATAATGATGATGATGATGGTGGTATGAACGGTAACCGGGTGGCAGAGCCACAGGGCTGACCCCACCGTAATTAGTGGAGGGAGAGATTTGGGTTTGCTTCTGTTGTGGCTGTTTTCAGCGTGGCTATCAAACCCAAAGTGAGACTTGATGATGTATCTTTCTTCATCCACTCTCACTCATTTGCTTTGCAGGTTTCCCTTGTAGCCTGCAGAGGAGGACACCCTGTGTGCCTGAAGTGTGCAGGGATGCCGGTTGGCTTGTTTAGAATCAGCAGCGGTTAAAAACATGTTTTAATGGTAGTTTAAGTTGCAGCTTTTGCAGTTCTGTTAAATAGCATTTTCAACTTGAAAACAGTTGATTGTTCAGCCCTAATGTGGACATGATGTTGTTTTTCCTGTGAAACTTCAGCATACAACTGTAGCTTGTTTTGACGGTGATTATAAATCTTAAATTTTGTGCTTGGGCAGGTTTTAAGAGAAAGCAGTCTAGAAGGGTTTCATGTTACGCAAATATGTTGTGAGAACGTTGCATTATTTTTTGCTTATTTTTGTTTGTAGGTGCCTACCATGGCTATAGAGAAGGTCTTTATCTATAACAACACATCCATTGTCCAGGATGAAGTTCTGGCTCACAGATTAGGCCTCATCCCCATCAAAGCTGACCCTCGTCTGTTTGAGTACAGGAACACTGGTAAAGCAACACTGTGAACTATTCATGCATACGACAGTGGGCCACAGTTACTCTGCCTCAACAGTTCACGGGCCTCTGGGCTTGGAAAATTCTGGCTAAGACCTTAAGGAACATAAACACTTCTTCACTGCCAACGTAAAGCGCAATATAAATCAGACTCACACTGTTCATTCTATTTTCATGTTCCTCTGCAAGATGCTGAGTTTGCTCACATTCAGGGACAAGACAAGATCTACTTGCAGTAACAATGTACTCTACTGTACAGATCTACCCAGGACATGTCACTAACATGAAATTCCATTCTACAAAATGTGTCAGGTGACGCTAAGCGCGTAACAGGCGTGTCAACTCTGCCTATTTTTTTAGCTTAGGTCCATTTTTCTCCCCCTCTGGTGCATTTACTGAAGTGCAATCTCCACAGACAGCTGTTTAAACACCTCATAGATGGTTTCTGTCCGGAACAGTTTTACTGTCAATTAGTCCGGTGAAGCCACCTTCCTTCTGGCAGATGGACAGCTGTTCACATCTTTGGCTGTGTTACTGTTAAATATGAGGGGTTTTTTAAACTAAAAAGTATCAACAGAGCATCCAGAAAGAACTTTTGCTTCCCCTTTTGTAGATAGACTTGTAATATAGATGTGACTTTGAATTTCTGATGTAAAAGGGGTATAAAATTGAAATGATCCTTTCAGCAAATATTTAAAAATTAGTATGAATAAAGCTGTTGCTTTTAGTGTGCTCACTCTTCATATTTTTCCACATTGTAATCAAGTATCAGTGCGGTGTCACATTATGGGTATATACAGTATATTGTGTGTCCGCTTGTTTCAAGACTTGCACTGAGAACTCCAAAGAGAGATGCCATATTTATTTCTGTGCATCATTCCATCAAAACTCGTGTTTTGTGCCTCAATTTTGTCACAATTTTCTGAAGCCTGGCATCACAGTGCAGTGTTCAGCCTGGGCTTGTAACATGAACCCACCAGTGAGCACAGTTTAACATTTTCTCTTATGCTTTGTTTATTCCAGGTGACGAGTCGGCAGAGGAAGAAGGTTCAGAAATAGACACGATTCAACTGCAGCTGAAGATAAAGTGCAGCAGAAACCCCCGAGCCAGCAAAGACTCCTCTGACCCCCAGGAGCTCTATCTGAACCACATGGGTAGGTTTCAGGTGACATCAAATGAAGGAGGGATTGCTGCTGTTGTTTGCAGATAGAGATGTACCAGCATGCAAATAATCAAATGAGTGGTTGTTGAAAAAGCTCAGGAAGATATCTAAGAAGGAAAGAGAGTTTAATATTAATGTGGTCATTTGTCTCCCCTGTCCCATGCTGTCTTATCTCAGTTTATTCTAGGGACATAAAATGGGTCCCCATTGGGAACCAGGCAGACGTGTTTGCAGACTCCCGCATTGGCCCCGTACTCGACGACATCCTGATAGCTCAGCTACGACCAGGACATGAGCTGGACATCGTCATGCACTGTGTCAAAGGAATTGGTCAGAATGTTTTGAGTGTCTGGATCAAGACTAGTCATTTGAATGCAGATGATACACATATATATTTATATAAAATGTGCATTATTCCTGAGCACCTACTCAGACTGGTGTGAGGTGATAGTCTTGTCACAATACTGGAATTTCTAACTTTGATGCGATATCTTGACAAATATCGATTATTCAATATAGGCCTGCATGATGAATCATTTTGTAAGCCTGATTTAGATCCCTGTGCGATCTGAGTCTTGTGTGACAATGATTCTGCCGTGTTTGCATTAGCAGGGAGTTTCTTTGCATCAAACCAATCACTCCCTTTTACTCACTAAGCTACGTTAACCAATAGCCAGAATGTGTGGCACCACGTGACGAGCTGTAGACAGGAAGAGATTAAAAAACAAATCCAATGTGTTTGACATGGTGAAAGATATTCTGTGCCCACCCGCAACTAAATTTCCTACGTTGTACTGCCTACACCTAGCGCCAAATAGCTGTTGAGGCAGAAATAAATCACTTTGTTGTTACTTATTGTGGTTATTGGTTAATGCAGCTTGGCGAGGAAATGGAGCACTTGGTTTGATGCAAGGGATCTCCCTGCTAATGCAAACATGGCAGAATCATTGATACGCCTAGTGAATAATACAAATACTCCTGTCGACCTTTACCTTGTACAAATGTCCACCAAGTGTGACATCACAGCAGGCATAGTTTCAAAACTGCTTGCTCTGCAAAATTTCAACTCAGGTAAAATCACTGCAGAGACAGATTTCAGTAATCTGACAGCAGCTGGCGACCTCCACCATCACCTGACTCTTTCTCTGAGCTCTTCTTTTGTTTTTCATCATGCCAGCTTTTTAAAATACTTGTGAAAGTTATGCAGCTTATCTCAGTGGGAAACCCAGCATTTTAATAGGCCGTATGCTTTGACACAGCTCACTGCTGCCTAATACTGAAGTACATTCTCTGTTTTGTGTTCAGGTAAGGACCATGCCAAGTTCTCTCCAGTGGCCACAGCCAGTTACCGCCTCCTGCCAGAGATCACTCTCCTTGAGCCAGTGGAGGGAGAGAAAGCAGAACGCTTAAAACGCTGCTTCTCACAAGGAGTCATTGACCTGGAAGATGTTAAGGGTAAGAAAGAACTAATCTGAAATCAAATACAGTGAAACAACAAAATCTGCATCATGTAATCACCTCAATCGGACCAGACTGGCTTAGAAAGAAATTTCAATTGTAGTGAGAGTGATAATCTGTTTAATAGTAAAATATTTCCCAGGTAAGCATTGGATCAGAAAAATCCTGCTGATATTCATATATCCCTCCTTGTAAGGCTGTGACGAGCTAATCATCAGTAAAGCTATGTTTTATAGGAGAACCAGTAGCAACCATCTGTTAAAAATAATGGAATGGTCTGAGTTGTTGCATTCAAATTTAAGGTGTGTTGAATGATTCACAGTGTCAACTCGCACAATGAGTAACATGTAAGAAAACAGTCCACCTTAATAAACGCTGGTAGCATTTCAGCAACACAGTTTAACTGTGTTGCTAACTAATGGTAACTCATTAAAATGAAAAGCCAGCTAAATATCCTGGCTTTTTTTATTGGGACAACTAAGAGGGTTCAGCTTCAGCGACACAATGTGTGGAAGTTTTTTTGTTTTTTTTTTTGTTTTGTTTTTTATGTTTTTGCAATTTGCTGGTTTTCTCCGATGCACTTGTTACATGCTTTAAGTGTGTAAACACGCATCATAAGGGACCAGCGTCCATGTAAACAGGTTAATTTAAAATCTGTAATCATAATGATTTCATTCTGATTAAAAAATAGTTCATATAACCACAGCTAGTGGCTCATGATTTATATGACATAGATTTCTGCTGTCTGTTTTTTACACAGTTCAGCCATGTTCAGGCAAGAACAGTCGACGAGTTCAGGCAGACGAGTTCAGTCAGACGAGTTCAGTCATGTTATTGGTCTGCAGTTAATTCCTAAATTGTGCAAATGTAATTGTATTTTTTGTTGTCCTCCTCAGGGAAGAAGGTTGCCAAAGTAGTAGACAGTCGCCTGGACACATGCAGCCGGGAAGTCCTCCGACATGATGACCTGAAAAATTTGGTGAAGCTCGGGAGAGTGCGAGACCATTTCATTTGTACGTTCATATACATCGTATTCAGCGCAGGCCGCTTTAGAGACAGCATTCAGGCTCAGCAAGACTAACACAATCCTAGTAAATGAAAACAGTAATGGAATTAAAGGTTCACCTAAAGTAATTGAGATTTTGAGAATTACACTTTTATTCATAACAAGAGTGAAATGAGATGATCATACCACTCATGTCTGTGTAGTAATTATTAGATTTTGAGAATTACACTTTCATTCATAACAAGAGTGAAATGAATGATACCACTCATGTCTGTGTAGTAATTATGAAGCTACCATTAGGAGACAGCTTGGCTAGATTAGAGGTAACTGAGGGAAACGGCTAGTTTGGCTCCATCCAAAGGTAACAAAGTGTGCCTCTAAAGCTTAGTCAGCAAGATGAGTAGAAACCAGTATTGTTTTCATGCGACTCCCTAAAAACAGCCGTTTGTGTTACTGTAGTTGGTATCTGTTCATGGATTTCTTTTCTCACACAGTTACTGTGGAGTCAACTGGCATCCTGCCTCCAGATGTTCTGGTCACAGAGGCCATCAAAGTTCTCATGGCCAAGTGTCAGAGGTTTCTCAGTGAACTGGACTCTTGTGGCATGGAGTGAAATAATGACTGAGGATGCTGAGATCCATCACTGAGGACCTGGTACTGGAATATGGCACGGCCTAGGATTAGGATTGTTGATGCTCTCTGCGGAATGTCTCGGTTGAAGCTTGGCTGTATGGATAAAAACTAGCAGATGTTGTTATAGGTAGACTTGTAAGTATGTGTATACCACTGGTTCTTGCCTTTTTTTTTTTTTTTTTGTACTGAGGTTTTTTTTCTAAATAAACATACTGAGTTTAATTGAAAAAAAAATCACTTATACAGTATTTACAATATATTTTCTATGGATTTAGTCACGTGAACCATAACAGAAAGCAAAGATGGTATTACCTTAGGAAAACAGCATATACAGTACATGTATAGTATATACTTGGTTCTTCAGAACAGTAAGTTCATATAGATGTGATTAATGTACGTCAGTGATTTCAGCTCCCTGCCAGCCTCTGTCTCTGCTGCAATAAAGCACCACTAATACATCAATGTGCTTTATTATGATATTTCATATAATGTATTTTCCCTTTTATCTTATTTTCAGCAGCATTTATATAGAAATGTTGTGTATCCACTATACTTATGTACAGTGCATTTCACTTGATTTATTAAGTACTGTACATCACCTGAGCAGTTATCTGCTCATTTTGTCACGTATATCAGTGTATATTTTGGCACATAACAAGAAACTGCAGTACAGATATGCCAAAGATTTTTAGTATAATTTAGAGGCAGAGTATAACATGTTAAGTTTATATTTCAACTGTAAAAAGTCCCACTGTGTGTGTTATGGACTGTAACCAGGATTTAAGAAGTCCAAATCCCCCTCACAGCACCCAGCACCCACAAAAGGAGTAGAGCCGTTCCATGGAAACTGTACTGATTGGACCTTGGAGTTTTAAGAAATTTTTTTCATAACCAGTGAAAAAAGCATGAAGGATATGTTAGAGCTGCAATAAAACCTATTTTGCAAGCTCAGGCACTATTTATTTAAATTTTTACCTTGTATATCAAGATATCAGAGCTGGTTTGTTCCACCCTGTCAGGACTGTAGGTGATCTAGTTCAGTGACGGCAGGAACAGTCAAAGCAATAGGGGCAAAATTCTCTCTGTGGTCAAAGTTAACACCACACTTAGCATGCAGCTAAGTGGAAAAAAAATCATGTTTTTATATAAGTTCATTTTGAAAATTTCATTCAAAAATGTTCCCTCTGTTTTCTGAGCGACAGGGTAGATGTGTTATGCTTGACAGTGGTTCTGAAAGAAAATCCAATCTCACCAGTATTTGAATGTGTCTTCTTCAAACCCTTAAATGATGTCATTTCCTTGAAGCAATGTTGCTTAATGGAGCAGTGCAGTATTTTAGTGCAGAAATACACTGGTGTGACAGGGTGATGCACGACACTTATTGGCACGTCAAGCTAATTTAACAATTATGCTAATGAATATATTTTCCACAAAGAATATTCATTGTGCGTTATCAGACCTGAATGTCAGAAGTGGTCAGAACAGACATGAGAAAATGATTTGTTTTAATTTTAATTTTATTTGACTTCCTGCTAACAAAGAACGCTTGAATTAATGTCTTCTGCCACTGAAAACAGTGTCAGCAGTTTTATACTGCCTGTCTTTTGCTTTTAAATATTGGGGACACAAAACGAACAGGTTCCATGGAATGAACCAGTTGCTATGTAAAGTGTCTAGATTTCCATATTTTATTTAGTCAACAGGTAAATGTTTACATTTGGTTTCAAAGGCGTCATGTCCACTCTGTCTTTGTTATGCAAGACCCGTGTCTTGTTCAAAGAAGATAATTTGAAAGAAAAACATTCTTAGGTGTACTGTGTAATCCTTTGTTTTTGTTGGGTTTTGTTCTTATCTGAAATGTACCTGAATCCACCTTTAATATACTGTTAGCTTTGACACTTGGAACCTAAAGACTGACCAGCATAAACACTGAAGACCTGCTGACGTATGTGCTTTCAATGGTAGCAACACTGCTGCATATCATGGTCACAATAACCAGATTTAGGAATTTTTATTTTAAAAAGTGTTTTACTAAAAAAATAAAAAAAAATGAATATCTGCCTGTATTGTGTGTTGGCAGGTGTACAGTATGTATGGTTGTCTTGGTGTACAGTGACCTGTAGCACCGTCCAGAGGGGAGAAGTTCAAACTGTGTCCAGGGTGTGAGGGGTCTGCAGAAATCAGCCCTCCTTTTGCCCCATGAGGTTTACAGGTCCTCAATGGAGGGCAGGCTGGCACCGATGGTTCTTTCTGCAGTCTTGGCTGTCCTCTGGAGTCTGTACTTGTCCTGTTTGGTTGCTGAGCCAAACCAGACAGTGATGGATGAGCAGAGAACTGACTCGATGATTCCTCTGTAGAACTGTATCAGCAGCTCCTGGGGCAGGTCGACTTCCTGACCTAGAGCAGGAAGTACATCCTCTGCTGTGGCTTGGAGCTGATGTTGGACATCCACCTCACTTGAAGGACCCTACTGCTGATACAGTTCCTGCACCTTTGACCTGTGATAAATTGTTTTGTGCCTTCATAGGTGGCATAACAAGTCAGATCTTTTTAAAAGCATGGAAAAGTCAAACAAGAAGAGGAAACACTGGTCCATATTGAATGATTGCTTTTTCAGTTCTTTCTTGCTTTTGCAGTAAAACATTGGTGATGTGGATTTTTAAGCCAGGATCAAATGAGATTCTTAATGACACATTGCAGCAGGTTAAAAGTCAATATACTCATCATACGGAAGTGTTAGAAAATACCCGATTCTTTTGTTGGAAGCACGAGAAGTGAAGACAGGAGAGGACTGTTTAAAATCAAAAGGACGTTTACTGGAAGTCTGAGCACAGGTAGGTCTTACAGCGCTGGATTCAGACAGACAGAGCTCCCACAGGAAAACCAACTTCTGAATCTCTAATTAAGTTTTTACAACACATTTATCTGTGTGGGCTGCTCCACCCTGGACAGGTGTGCAGGGTTCAATAGTTTGTGATCCTTTTGGCCATTTGGTGTGAGCCGGAGCTCACACTTCCTTGTTGAAATGTGGTAAATTCTAGGTGTCTGTGTGTATGTGTCTCTCAGGTGGCAGCTTGATCTTAATCAAGAGCACCAAACAATGAGTGGCCTTGGTTGCAGGCCCCCTGTGTGTGTGATGCTAATAAGTATGCTAAACTGGCCAGGTAGTCATCTCAGGTTGTGAGCCCCTTGGTTCTGCAGGACACCCCATGACAAAGCAGAGCTTGGGATATGCTAAGTGGGTCGAGGTGTGAGTGCAAAGCAGGCCAACATGACTTTGTTAAATTGTAAATAGGCTGTCTGGTCCTCAGGAGATGCAGCCATCCAGTCTCAACAGAAGTTACAGCATTCAAAGTAAGCAGATTCTGCTTTATTACAATTGTAAGATATGTAAGCAAGGAAAATAAATGTATTAAAAATAACCAAAGCTCAGTAGTTCTGGACAATCATCAATACAGCTGTAATATGTATAGACAAGGAAAATAAGGTTATGAAAGGTAACTAAAGGGAACTAAAGGTATGAGAAGTAACTAAAGCTGATAAAGTAACTAAAGCCTATAAGACTCAAATCTTACAGAAGACAGCTACATGATAATATGTTAACTCTCATCTTAAACAGCTGTGCTGATAAAAAACAACTGGAACAAGACATGTAAAAATAAGTCTTTTCTACAGTACATTCCATGCTTCTCTTTCTGAATCTCAAATTTGTTAAATAAACTGACAATAAACTTTCATTCATCTATTATATTTTTTGTTCACATTAGTTCAGTAATGTTTCCCCTTGGTCTTAAATGTTTTTTGTGTTTATTCCTCAATCGCAAGCTCATTTCTCCCTGAATTTTGTTTGCCAAAGATTTTTAGTATAATTTAGAGGCGGGGGGGGATAAATATCCCCGGCTCAACACCAGTCAGTCAGAACTGATGAAGCCTCTTGGATGAGAGGTGAAACGTCTTCGACCTAAAAATCTAGTCCAGTTGATTGTTCTAGGTGTTAGGTTTCTAGGTTTTTTCAGTTTACCTGGATGACTGAGAATCTGCACAGACATACACATCCCAAAACTCAGGAGTCGATTCTAGAAGGAGTGATTTCTGACCCCTGTAGATACTGTATGTGCTTCCCCCCTCACCCTAATCTGAGCCTGACCTTCACTCTAACCTTGTCTTCTGATTAACCTGACTCCAACCTGACTCTTACTCTAATCCTAGCCTGTTGCCACTGCCTACTCAGGAGTCTTGGAATCTGGCCTGTGGAAAATTGGCACGCGAGCACCCTCTCTCTCTGTCTCTGTGTGTGTCTCACACACACACACACAAAAGTAACGCTGTATGCGTAACGTCATTTCCGCCTCCTCCATAGCAAAGCAAGATGGCGGCCGTCGTAGAGAGAGTTGATGGATGTGTTGGGTCCTTGGACTCAGACGCGGTGTCACCCAGACAGTCCACCCCTCCACCGGACCAGCAGCACCAGAACAACCCGCTGTTAGGACTGCCTATTGTTGCCATCGAGACTATTCTCAATTTTCTGTCTTATGATGAAATCAGCCTGCTGCGTTCGGTAAGGAGAACAAAAACAAGCCACCTGGAAGGGGAACAAAGCTAATGATAACCACATGCACCGCGTATCTTTGGATACTAGATCTGTAACATCCTGACTAAATATTTATGGATGTTATTTTACTTAAAGCATATGCTTAATGTCCGTATAACAGTTTAATTGCAGCTATGACCTGCAGTGTTTATTGAGCTATTATCGAATTAGCAGGGGAGCCTAGCTGAGCAAAGGCTGGAATAGACGACACAACGTCAGATAAATACTGAGGATGACGAACCGAGTCGTCACAGATCAGGATGTGTTTTACTCTTCTATTGATTTTCCTGCACTTTAGATATTGCCTATGTCTTTGGGATGTATAACGTACTGACATTAGCTGGAAATCATTCGCTGGTCCGTTTGCACCGTGGCTCTGCTGTTCCCTGCAGCTCTTCCAGCAGTAGCTTCACATGACTGGCTTTATACAAGGTCAGCTGTGCTGCTTCTTCCGGTTCTGCTATGCAAAGCTGTTTCTGCTTTTCTTATAATCCCGGGAGGGCACAGACAGCTAATAAACTCTAAAGTTCTGCGGGTTGAAATGGTTTGTTCGTGCTGCAGATGAAGCGAACATAGCCAAGCACCGACTGTACTCACAACCACTGGCTGTGGTCGCACCCACTACTGTGGCTACAACCATTCTGTGGGTATGGCCGTAAAGGAGCTATTGTGTTGACCTGTGGTTGTAGCTGGTTCAGGCTGACTGCTTTTACATATAGTACAGCAGTAACATTGGCCAAAACAGCAGTGTAAAGCCTGACACTCCTGCCAAGATTTGACCCAGATAGATGTGCTATCAGTACACCAGAGGAGTTCGGGAATAGCATCACCACAATATGCAGCCAGCAGTGAGATTAGTTGATGTTACATTCACCACAATATGCAGCCAGTTCACGCCAGCAGTGAGATTAGTTGATGTTACACATTAAAAACAGCCTCATATTAACCAACAGCTATAGTCACAGCAACAGCGATGCCCATAGCTATGTCCCTGTCTATAGTCTGATCACAGCTACAGCCCCAGCCTGTCTCTAAATGCTTCAGTAGCAACCAGGAGCTGAGGCGTTACCTTCAGTGACCACAGCAAATTCACGCTACTTTCCACCACTGTCTAATAACAGACACTTTTATGATTATTTATTATTCTCAAACTAAACTGGCAAACAGAGGAGCTGTTGAGAGCTGTCTGATACAAGTCAAGCTGTAAACCTGGACCCATCCTGACAGCCAGGCACAGCCAGCCCTGGGCGTGCCTGCTCACCCTCTGATCGCTGCAGTCGGAGGTTGGCCCTGCTGGATGATGGAGGCTAACAGAGCAGATCCACACTAACACTCCTATCAACATTTATGATACAAAACACTTTAGGATACAATTCAAAATCCTAAAGAACACCTGTGATGCAGGTTGTATCAAAGCCGACCTATGACAAAAATCATTTTGTCTGGCTTACACTAAATGAGATTGTAAGCCAGTATTTTTCAAGTTGTCTCTGTCATCTGATCCAAATAAAGCAAGTAATGTGCATACACCTTGTGAAATTGGATAACTGTCCCTTTCAGTGTACAATGGAGAGGAAGATTTAGCAGTATGATGTTAGGTGAGGCTAATGGACATGAAAAGGTTTGTTAAACAGCAACTTCAAAGTATAATCATAAAAACCGAGGTGGTAATTGTAAAAATGATGAAACTAGACCCTAGAGCCACTGTCCACTATCCAAGCTAACTACTAAGGTGAATGTCTTCCTGCCTTGAACACACTGCTAAGCTCCAGAAGGTCTACAGGAAATATCTGTTGCTCCAACAGAGGTGACCACTGTGTTTGTTTTCTTTACATACTAATGAAACTGTACGTGTTGTTCAGCTGTTGCCTCTTGTCCGTCTTCTTTAGGTGTGTAAGCGCATGGACATGATCTGCCAGCGAGTCCTGAATCAGGGCTTCCTGAAGGTGGAGCGTTACCACAGTCTATGCCAGAGGCAAGTCAAAGCCCAGCTGCCCAGGTCAGTTTCACACCAGCACAAGCTCTGCAGGAAAAACTATGTTCACTGCAGTTTGTCTTTGTTTTGCAGGTTGTCAGGTCTTCAGACCTCTGCTATGGTGTTACTGTATATTTGTGCCTCATTCCTACATATACCATGGGCCATTCTGAGCACAGGAAAATGTTTTTTGCATTCACTCAATTTATATTTTATAAAGACATTATCACTCAAATATTTTAATTTGAGCAAATGAAAATCTATTCTGTGCTCTACATGGATTTGCGTCTTCAGTGTTATTCATATAAATGAGTATAAGGTTCAGCTTCACTCATTTGCATTTACAAATTGCTGCTGTTTGCATTTTCAGTGTTCTGCTCACTTGTTCACCCTCTTGCTCACTCTCAGCATCTCAGCTTTGTGTACATTCAACTCTGGCGCTTGCTCAACATAAGTGAGTTGCAAAACCAGCCAATCAGAGACTGGAGGAGGTCAATTCTGATTGGCTGTTATAACTCCAGTCCAATCCAAGAAGCAAGTAAAGCAAGTGAAACAATGGATACAACCCATTTTCCTTATTTGATTGTTCCTAAGTCCTACTTCCTTGTCCAACCTGGAAGTAGTTCCTGTAAGGATCGAGGAGCAATGATGCATGAGAGCATTCTTCGTGGAAGTCTTTTATGGACCAGCATGTACTTTAGTGGAAATCATTTTGTCCTTCAGACGACAGATCAGAAGGAAATGACATCTCCCTGTTTATTTAATTTTTCTCCCCTTGCATTTTCCTCTTGGGTATTTTCCTCATAAATACAGAGGACATGTTTCTCCTATTGAAACACTTTTGCACCCAAGTCAATGACTGTAGGATTTTAAATCACCAAAATATGTTGTTTGGGTGACTAGAGTCTGCAGACACACTTGTGTGTGGTGTTTTTACAAGAGTAGGTAGCACTGAAGGCTTCAGTTTACATGAAAAGCTTTAAGCTAGTTAGACAAACTGTGATACGTCCCTCATTCCAGAGTCCACAGATCTTGCATGGAGCTCAGTTAACTTACAGTGCCTATAAAAAGTATTCATCCCCTTTTATTGATTTTATAAATCAATCATGGTCAACATAATTTGGCTTTTTTGACCAACAAAAATGCAAAAAAAAAAACTGTCAAAGTGAAAACAGGTTTCTACAAAGTAATGTCAATTAAATACAAACATCTAATGGAAAATAAGTTATTGCATAAATATTCACCCCTTCAAGTCAATATTTAGTAGCTGCATGGCAGAGTCTTTGTGGACAGGTCTCAGTCAGGCTTGCACATCTAGACGCTGCAATTTTACTCCATTCTTCTTTGCAAAACTGCTCAAGCTCTGCCAGGTCGCACGGGGATCAAGCGTGAACAGCCCTTTAAGTCCAGCCACGAATTCTCTATTGGACTGAGGTCTGGGCTTTGACTCGGCCGCTCCAGGACACTCACCTTGTTTTCTTTCAACCATTTCTGTGTAGCTTTCGCTGTATGTTTCTGGTCATTGTCTTGCTGGAAAATAATTCTTCTCCCAAGCTGTAGTTCTTTTGCAGACTGAATAAGATTGTCCTCCAGGATTCTCCTATATTTTGCCACGTTTTGGTCTCGTCAGACCAATGGACTTTCTTCCACTTGACCATGGCGTCTCCCACATGCCTTTTGGTGAACTTTGGTCAAGATTTCACATGAGTTTTCTTCAACAGTGACTTTCTCTTTGCCACTCTCCCATGAAGCTTTGACTGGTGAAGAACCAGGGCAACAGTTGTTGTATGCAGAGTCTCTCCCATCTCAGCTGCTGAAGCTTGTAACTCCTTCAGAGTAGTCATAGGTGTCTTGGTGCCCTCTCTCTCTATAGTCTCCTTTTTGCACAGTCACTCAGTTTATGAGGACGGCCTGATCTAGGCAGATTTAGATGTGTGCCATATTCCTTCCATTGTTTGATGATGGATTTAACAGAACTCTGGGGGATGCTCAGTGCCTTAAAATTATTTTTTTGTAGCCATCCCCTGACTTATACTTTTCAGTAATCTTTACTCTGAGTTGCTTGGAGTGTTCTTTTGTCTTCATGGTGTAATAGTAGCCAGGAATACTGATTAACCAGTGACTGGACCTTCCAGACACAGGTGTCTTTATACTACAATCACTTGAGACACATTCAGTCAGGCGATCCCCATTTCACTAACTGTGAGACTGTTGGCACCAATTGGCTGGACCTCTGTTAAATTAGGTCAGTCATTTTAAAGGGGATCAGTGTTTATGCACTCACTTATTTCCCAAACTGTCTGACACTAAAGCACAGACTGTCTCTCTGCTTTAGGGTATGTTTGCTTAACTGACCGCTACCTCCACCCACTGGCAGAAGTGCCTTTGAGCAGTTGACTTGATACAAGACTCTGTATAAGACCCCATGAATGTTTTAATTTCACATGGCTGAATTATACAAAAACTGGATTCTTAATATCAACTGTCTATTACTAGCCCCTAGAGAATGCTTGTAAAACTCATCTTAACACTGTCACTGTTGTGTTCTTGGCTTTATGATCATGCAGCAGCTTCAGTTCTGCATGATCTGAACAAATGTTTATTTAGACACATTTTTAGAGTCTGACAATATGAACAGTGCCTCTCAGCTTTGTATTATGTCAGGTCAATAACCCTGTTAGACTAAACTCATTACATACTGAGCCACCTGAGAACATTTTGGGAATCCTCTTAATTCTGAATAATGTGATGTGATGCTGAATCATTGCAGAGAGAGTCGCTATGCATCAAAATATATTTCCACCCAATTAAACCTAATAGAAAGCATAGTTTGTCACCCTCTTTTTATTGGCAGTAAATGGATGTATCCTGTCCCACTGTGTTAAAGCTTAGGAGGAAGACAGTCTTTCAGAACTAAAGTTACCAGTAAGATGCGTTATAGTTGGTATAAATTATAAGAAACCTCCCTTTTAATAAAAGTTCTTTTCAGCAGTATGTTTGTCATGAATTGTCTCCAGGAGAGAGTCAGAGAGGAGAAACCATTCGCTGGCCCGTCACGCTGATATCCTGGCTGCTGTGGAGACGCGCCTCTCGCTGCTCAACATGACCTTCATGAAATACGTCGACTCCAACCTTTGCTGCTTCATCCCTGGAAAGGTTAGCTCAGCCGCCGCTGGCCCACAGAGGAGCTGCCGCTGTCAGGAGCAGTGGAAGTGGCTCATTAAAAGGCAGCAAGCTCACATGAATTAAAGTTATAGTCATAGTTTCTATGTTTGGCCCAGTGTAGAGGACAGTAATAATTTTGTTCCTATCCTGTCAAAAAGGAGGTGGTAGGAGGAGGAGGAGAATCAGACTGAACAGCAAATCTTTTGGATTGATATTTGACTTGAAAGTCATGATAGGAGGGGATCTGAATCAAAATCTCTCCTCCGTTCAGTTTGGGGATTTTGAAAATGGTCCATGGTTTGTTCATTGAGTATGTGATCGGAATTTCTTTGAGTTTTAGCAAAAGCACAAATAATGTTGTTGCCCTCTGATTCCAGAGCCACAGATGAACACAGACAGTACTGTGCAAGAGTTTCAGTCCCTAAAAGTAAAGTGGGTGTAAAGCCATGGATCTTTTTGATGTATCAGTGCAGTAAAGAGAACAAACCAATACTTGGCAGGTAGGTTGTTCCAGCATCTCGCAGAACCTGCCTCAGTACTTCTGTGGATTCAGGTGTCTTCGTCATATTGAGGTCAGGGCTCTGTGGGGGCCAGACCATCTGGTGCAGGACTCCTCGTTCTTCTGGTGTCTGAACATACTTCTCTGTGACACTGGCTTCATGGTTAGAGGAACTTATTAGTCTAAGGCATGATCCTCATCTGATATAAAAGCCCTGTATCACTGAAAGTGTCCTGCAAAGTAATCTTTTGAAAAGCATATGAGCCCAAGCCTAATCCTAGCCAGTTACCTCTGCCTACGCCCGTTGTCATCTGATGTACACTGTTTGTGATGTCCTGATCGTGTGTTTTGACAGGTGATAGATGAGATTTACCGTGTGCTGCGCTATGTGAACTCTACTCGTGCCCCCCAGCGTGCTCATGAGGTTCTGCAGGAGCTGAGGGACATCTCCTCCATGGCCATGGAGTACTTTGATGAGAAAATCGTCCCCATCCTGAAGAAGAAGCTGCCAGGGGCCGATCTGTCTGGCCGCCTCATTGGTTCTGCACCAGGTAACGAATGTGTGATTTTTCTGGCTCGTAGAGTTAATAAATTCATCTAAAGCAGCTCTTGGTACTTGTCAGGATAATAACAATTTGTATTAAAAATGTGGTCTTAAGTTTCAAATCACAGTGTCGGTAGAAATGAATGGCAGAGCCTTGTGAAACAAGGGTCAGTGAAAGCTTTTTACTTTGACATTTAAAAATAAGAGGGCGTATACAGTATGGCCCAAATATCTGAATAGACCAACTTACACACTCATACCTTGGTGTAACACACTGGAAATAAATGAAACATTGGGTCCTAAACAAAAACACAGTTATGTGCAAATAGCAGCAGAGTTTCAAAACAAGAATAAGCGACAACGTTTGTGGACGTGTTTCTCCCCAAACTGTTTATAGATTATTCGTCAGCTAACACAGTGTATGAGAAAATAACCAAGGCTTTAACTTCCAGAACCCTGGAGACCTGGAGTACGTCATCCCATTTTGCAAGTCTGTGAGCAGAGAGATAGGCCTTGTATAACAACTGCAAAGATTAAAGAACTGTTGAGGGAAACTTCATAGTAGAATAGGCACCAGCAGCCTCTGCTTGTCAAGCTGCAATCAGTAATGTAAATATTGCACTTTCTTCACTGGTGATGATGTAATTTGAACATCTGGGTATGACCCTGTTTCCTTCCTCCCATTAAAGAATAGACTGAAATCCACTTACAGAATGGCATCTCTGATCTATTGATACACTTCTTCACGCTTCTACAAACACATGTCTTATTCCAGCATTTGAACACACAGTCTTAATATTTCAGTTTATTTATAAATTCATGTCATTGACACATCTTGGATTAATCATGGGTGCTGGAAAACATATTTCCACGCACAAGATTCCATGCAGGTAGATGAATCAGTTAGTTAAGCATTAATAATGACTTTTATTTGTAGAGCACCTTAGACCAAGGCTGCATTCACAAAGTGCTTTACAGAGGATAAAGAGAAAACAGAAGGAGAGAGGAGTAATAATCAAAAAGAAATGATCAATTCTTTTGATCAAAGTAAGAATTTCATTGTACAGGGAAATGCATTTCCTAACTGTGCATATGACAAATAAACACGTTGAACCTTTGAACCTTCTTTTGGTCATCTGTTCACCAGAAATGCCTGTTTTCTGCTCCTACACTGAGGTTTTAGCTGCTTTTCTGTTTTATATCATGAGACATTGTATAAAAATGTTCCCATAGAGCAGAGCTCACCAACTTTTTCACAGCAGAGAGCTCTAAGGCTCTACATAAGCCACTATAAAGGATCTTGTCCTGCTGTACTTTTACTTTTGTCCTGCAGGAACTCTTTCTGTTTGTACTGAAGCTCTCTGACCCCGTGTCCTGCTCCTCAGTTGCAGGTCCATCTACCTCCCTGACCACCATGTCCCTTCTGGCCAAGAACACGCCGTCACGCTCAGAGATGACCAAGGTTCAGAAGCAGGTCAAGGGGAATGGGGCATCAATGACAGTCATCGAGGAAGATGCAGGAAATTCGTGTCAAGCAGCTGGAGCAGCAGAAGCAGCTGCAGGACCAGGAGCAGAAGCTGCTGGAACAGACCCAGGTGATCGGCGAGCAGAATGCCCGACTTGCCGAGCTGGAACACAAGCTCCGTGAACTGATGGACAGTAGTGCTGCTGCTATGGGAGGACCCCGGCCCAGCACGGCTGCCCCTTCCACATCCAGCAGCACTGGCGTGTCTTCCGCTGTTGCCAGCACGCCTGGTACTGTGTTGGCAAGTGGCAGCATGGCTGCAGCCCCTCTACCCAGGGAGCCCGAGGGTGATGGAGGGGCGACTCCACCAGAAAGAGCTCAGACCTTCCACGACAGTCGAAAAGGCTGCGCAGCAAGAAATAAGAGACTCAGTGTGTCACTTAGTCAAAGTTTAGTTTATGGTCTGACTGATCACATCATATACCCAATGCCCCACGTCACCCCTGACCCCACCAACACTCGTCACCTGTACCGTCTGTGAGATAAGTCAAGTGTATCCCTGTAAGCCCTACCAGTGTTTATTTGCCCCTGCACACACCATGATGCAAACATGGTTGGATTTAATAATAGTGTTAAATGACTCGCTGTTGTCCACAGCTAAAACACTGAGCCCAGAACATCATTGGGACTTTGCACAACTTTCACAGGGTCAAATTTGGTTATCACCTACTGTTCATTCATTGTCCTATATTTTTCCCATTCTCTACAAATCCCTTAAAAACACCTCAACCAATGTGTTAGTCAGTACTGTCTGACTCCCCAGCACTGTTTGTGGCTGCATTTGTTATCAGAAGCAGATGAATCCACATTTGGTCTGTAGTGAGTGTTTGTGGTAGCAGGGTGATGTATGTGGGACCGAGTTAGAATAAACTACAGCTGTGTGTTCACGGTGACGAAGGAAAATGTCACCCAGTGCAACAATGTGGCTCACTGATGGGTTTAATAGGCTCTGGACAACAGTGGAGCACTGTGGCACAGATGAATATATCAGGCTTTGGACACACAGTACTTGTTAGTAGGAGACATTTATTGGTGTGAGGCCTCACATGGGATTTGTCAACAAGGAGAAAAACATAGAATACCGCCTAGATTTCCAAGGTTTCTTAGTCACTTAAATAAATCAGTGTAGGCAGGTGATCAGCCATTTGCAGCTAACAAGACTTGTTTATTATAGGTTACATTAAAATGACAGTGCAGCTTTTTAATGCAGATGCTTTTATAAGGCTGTTTCCAAAAATGTTTTTGAAAGGGCCAGTTGATGGAAAAATACTGGACATGGCTTTTCTTTACTTCTATTGTTTCAAACAATAACAGGAATCCCGGATTCCACAGAATCATCTTACCTTGATAACATCCCATTCCTTGTCTCTTCTCTTTTCTGATTCTTTTTAGATCCGTCACTCCTCTCCTCTGGCCTTGTATCCAAAGGATTCTCCTTAATGAGAATAGGGTCAAGGGCTTTATGCCGGAGTCCTGGACTCCCCAATGCAGGTTTCAGACCCAAACCGGGAGAGGACAGGAGATCTTGCAATCCGGCTCGAAGGACCAAATATGTTAGAAAAATTTAACATCGTGAGACGAAGGAATGCTGAGACTTTAAAAATTATCAAGGCATCTTTAATTATTCTTGCAAGGAGGAGCATATAACAGCTACTCAAATGTATCTCTGCAGTAAGCTCAAAGGAGTGAACCTCCTCGAGAGCTACTTATACTATTCATTGCAGTTTTATGGCTCTTTGTTCTGCCAGGCAAACATTTGTCCCCTCCAAGCACGGGGGTCAGGTCGCCATGTATGTTTTCTTATCAGGGGTCTGCTTATGTCCTGGCTTCCCAACCTAAAGAGCAATAAACTTTTACAAGCAGTTTCTAACATCCTTTTACAATGACTGCACATTTGCTCTGAGTAAACATTAGTTGCACACAAGAAGAAAAGCTATGTCCAGTATTTTTTCATCACCAGTGAATTTGGTGAACAAAAGTCATATTGTCCATGAGATTAATGCACTTTGTTTCTGAAATAAAAGCTACCAAGATCTTTTATTTTGGAAACATACACCACAAAATATATCATGGTAAAAATACAGGTTATGGCATTCCTTAAAGTCCAAGGTAAAATAATCAAACATTAATATGTTATTGGTAACCAGTTACCTTTAGTGGTCTAAATCCATAAACACTCAGTGTGTACATTCACCAGTGCTTCTGCTAAGTGCAATAAAAATAATCTAAAAGTAATAAGTAATTTATATTCCTTGCAAGTTGCTTGGTTGCAGCAAGCACCAGAAAAGCATAGGAAGGAAGAACAGCAGTGTTCTGGTAGCATTAGTTGTCACCTGTTGACTGTCTGGAAGGGGGTGTGACACGGAGATGTCTGTAAGCGGATTTTCATTTCCACTGTGCCTCAGCAACCACTGCCAGATGGCATGTGATCCTTAGAAATGCAGCAGTGATGATGGAACCTGTGAGTCTGCTGTATGTAAAAAGAACTTCTTTAAAAGCTTTCCAGCGAGAGCAGGTGTGGGTAGGTCCTGATTGTCCTGCTCCGCTTTTACATAAGTAACAATGGCCTGTGCCATGGAAGAGAAAAATACATTTAACTGATCTGAAATAGAAAAACTATATTTGGCACCTGTCGTTTGAGGATTATACAAGTGTTTTTACATTCTATCCTATTTACTGCAAATAATGTAGATTTCACTACAGGTGAACATTTGACAAAGTACACAGGGTTTATTTGAATTTGTTTCTGCTGTCTGGACAGCCACTGATTTCTAACATCATGACCTGCCTTCATTTTCAAACTGTGACAAAACATGGCAGCTGTTCCTGGAAGAATGTTCAGATGTCTCTTCTGTCAGAGTAAGAGAAATGTACCATGCACAGTCCCACAATTCCTGCACCAAATCCTAGTTGAAATAATTGTCACATCTCTCAGTCTTGCGCATAGTGGTTTGAACACCAAGTCAACTTCGATTTAAAACAAATGGCTGGTCATTTTCTTTATTTTTAGCAGTCTCTATACAGAGAGAAAAACCGACAGTGAACTGCCTCTACTCATGGTTAATGTCCATCAGTGTGTCAGGCCTGGATTACTTGTTTGGGCCGCAGAGATCCACTGTGGTTCAAAAACAATTAAAAACACATCAGTGAAACAGACTGCTGCACCGGGGGATACAATGATTCATTAGCAAATGTCAGACTTGAACATCAGGAGCTGGCAGAAGGTAAACAAAGCTGAGGGCTTGCACATGTGCAGTCAACTCTGACTTGTGCTGACTTCAGGAAATGCTGGATGCTCAGAAACTTTGGGGCAACATAGTCAGGTCTGCTGTTTGATTACCAAATGTGTCACCCAGTGCAGCGGTGTTTCCCTGGTGTTTTTAATCCTTTTTGAACAACAATGAAGGTCTGTGGCACAGATGAACAAGCTCATCCAGGACTGACGTTTTGCAATGAGTAGAGGCAATTCATTGTCAGTTTTAGTCTCTGTATGGAGATTGTTGAAAATACTATTAATACTGAAAATGACCGGCCTTATCCTTTAAGATTATTTTTGGCAAAGTGTTTGACAAAATAAGTTTAACCCAGTTTACTTGCCAGCTTTTCCTGACATTGTCCCAGTCTCCCTCAGTACATGACATCGGACCAACCTCATCCACCTTGAGATGTTGAAAGCTCTCGAAAAAGCAAGTATGTGGACCTTGATTTTCATCAAACGTCTATTCCCAATTTCACAAAATAATCTTAACTCAAGATCCTTTTCCTAGACTTGTACAGAGCTTCCAGCTGTATCTTAAAGCCAGCAAGTGGTTGGAGCTTGGCATATTTTTAAGATCAAGAAGGAGCATTGATGCTCTGGTGTTCTTGACTGACTCAGATCATGATGTCCAGTACATCCCTGCTGGACTCAGTGTTTCCCAGGCTGATTATTTGTTGTAGATCAATGGAAAGAGAACATTTGTATGGTCCTCAAGTCAAAGTAGAAATCATCACATTTACTTTACATGTACTGGCATTTATTACAAATTCTGTCACTTCCTCTGTAGTGCCATGTAGTAGTTTTCATTGTCCATGTTGATGAAGGGAAGTAACTGCATGGATAGTTGCCACCAGAGGGCAGTGAGAAGATATATTTTTGACCCCTAAGTGGTGTAATTTTTTTTTTTATGTTGTATCTCCAACTTTGAAATTGAAACCAACCTGTTGCAATCAGTGCAAAGGAACCAGCAGAGCTTCTCACTGGATTGCAGTGACAGTAGAGAGGTGCTGGGAATGTTTTAAAGTCTGTAGAATGGCTCAGAGTAAAAGGAGTTTCTCCACCTGTTGTTTAAAAAGCATCACCTCCGCTCCCCTGTACAGCGTCACCCTTCCCTCACCTGTATAAACATGTCTCTTGCCTTGTGAGGCTAGGTAAGATGTGAGCCCATATTGTGGCTGCACTTTGGTTTTCTTTCTTTGAAGCTTTTCTTTGGTTCGAATGAACTGCACCACTCATGGCATGAACCCTTGTCAAAGAAACTTGGAAAAATGCAGTTCACATCTTGGTGAACACTAGTATGTGCTATAATGATACTGGGCAGCAAAATGCAAGAAGACATAATCTAGTGGCTTAATTTGAGACTGCGTCTCAGTTTAGAAAACTGTACTGTAATCTTCATGTACGTTCAAGTGTAGATTGTGAATTATTTCATCTATGTATACCAAGAAAACTATCTTTTGAGTTGGTCAACTTGGGGCTAACTGTACAGTTTTGTTGCACACATTACTGTTACAAATGTGCAAATTATTAAACTCCTATAACACATCTCTGTGTTCATGCCCAGTATAAGCTCTGTGCTCAGTCAGCTGATGGCTTAATTTATATTCTATCAATTCATATCAATTTATTAGACCAGGCACATTTTAAAATGGTACTCCAGTGATTTATTTGTGCTGTTTTGATCAGTTGGTGGACCTGGGAGAAACGCATTAAAGCATGACTAACTTCTACAGTCATGCTAGCAGCTCAGTGTGGCTAATCATGCAAAACAGGTGTAATATTTATCACGTTAGTGTCCTAACTGCTGAGATCACCTTATCTCACTCAAGCAGCTTCCAACTATGTCTTCAGATGTTTAGCACCGTTTCACCCCAACTGTTCACACTGTCTACATTCCAGGTAGATCTCACACAGCAGAATGTTCCACAACATACATTTAGTGTTTCAGGAACATTGGCATTGGATGAAAAGCAGTGTTGCATGTTAGAGACCCAGTATTCCGTGTCATGCTGTTATTCTTGCATTCCCTTAATTTCCTGTGGAACCCAACAGGAAATGTTCCATTGTTTTATGTCCCAGGGAAACTGAAGAGGAATAGCAGTATTTAATGGTGGTCCAGCCAGAGGTGTATGTGTGTGTGTATAGCAGATATGACATATATTCAAATAAACAATAAAATGCATACATTTTAAAACATTTCCAAATGATTCTCATTAAAGTCAGTGCTTTTGGCCAGAGTCCATCAAATATTTACAGTCAACACCCTTGATTCATTGTTTTGAGTTATGAGCATTTGTATTTATATTTTCAAAATACACCAGTTTTTCTTGTTTTGTGTGGCAGAGTGCCCCACACATATAAACTCCATTTTAAAAACAAATGCTGAATAATGATAGCATAAGAAGAAAAACTAGAATAAATGAAATTTGCATACTTAGATATTTCACCATTATAAATTGGATTAACATAATTTAATCTTTTCATCATTTTATCATCTTTTTCATATGCATATTTCTCTATACACAGTATTTCTACCCACTCTATGACTCACTACATCACATCAATAATTGCACACTTTTCACAAATAAAAATAGGAGCTGGGTAAAGTATATTTTTGTTAGAATTTTTCAAATATCCTTTACATTGAAAACAGTTTCACCTGTGTGAAGAGCCCTATCTGGAATCAAAGTGGGGATGTTTCTGTGACATGTGGCAGACTACTAGTCCTTATATTGAATTATTTTGTGGAATTCTGTCCCTCTTTGATAAATGTTTGCTTTATGGTTTTACAGAATATAAATTAAATGTGATCGTAATCTCCTGCAGTTAACTAAAGTATAGATCTTCTGGGAACCCCCTCAACACTACAGTATGTGATATTTTGAAGAGGTGTGAAGATTATGAATTAGGTCACTGGAGGATAACACTGAATTCCTTTGACAGTAACTGTCTGCTTTCTGCAGGCTTATACTTGCCCTGTTAGGCTTCGTGGATCCCTCTGGGCCTGATAAACAGACGGTGTGTACAGCTGTGGTGTTGTTGCTGAGCAATATTCTCAGGCTTTGTATGGTTGTACTGGGAATATTGCTTAGTCCATGCCCTTAAAGGTTAACTAGAAGTAGCATTATAATATTCCTACACCTAGAGCTGCAGCCATCATTGAGGACATAACTTTTGATATTGTTAGGTATTTTGAGTCAGATAGAAATTGGATAGATACTTTATGTATTAGAAATGTTTAGTGGAGATAGGATGTCTAGTTAGACTGTTAAATGCTTAGGCATGCTTATGAGTTTCTACATCTGCCTGCGTGCAGTTTGGAGGTGCAAGATACCTGAGCGTGTAATGTTAATTTTACCTGTGATCCTTTGAATAAATCAGCAATGTTTTGAAGCTACTTGGACTGCCTCATCTCTCAGAGTTAGCAATGGTAACAAGAACCAAATAGTTCAACAACAATATCTTACATTCTGTATTGGTTTTGATGGCTAATTAACAAATTTTCAAATAACCCTAAATGTGAGTGTTTATAGGGAACAGATCAAACTCATTTAATAGTTCTACACCTGAATGAAAGTGAAAGTGTGAAGATCGTAATGTAGTTAATTTACATAAAGTATTTTTATTTGATTAAAAAAGGCCTAATCAGAATTTTCCATACTTTCCTAGACTAGTCAGATTTGGCATCGTACTGGGCATTTTTGGACCAATAACCTTTCTAAAAGTCTGTCTATGGGCCGTGTTACCACAGTTATGACAGGTTTTCCTCTAACACTACAGTTTATTGTGATTTTAATTTTTATGTTAATGTTAGCATTTTAATTTTTATGTTAACGTTAGCAGCTTCCCCATCACAGCTGAGAAAGAGGTGGACAGGGGGAAGGAAGGCAGAGTCCACACGCCTGCGTGGCCTGACGATGGTAGGAGGAGCTGCAGACTACCAGCACAGCACTGACTGAGGCGGCGCACGTAGACTGGGGATAGAGGAGAGGAGAAGAGTCAACGGAGTTCATTATTAGTAAAACAACACCATCATTTTAAATACTTGTTTTACTAAGTTGGTTTTTCACAGCAGTAATTAAAAAAATGGGGAACCGGGTCGCTCGTGAGGACTTCGAATGGGTGTATACGGACCAGCCACATGCAGACAGAAGGAAAGAGATTCTGGGTGAGCTTTTGTATTCTTTAGGGGAAAAAATCTTTGCTGTAACGGTAGTTAACTGAAATATTTGACTTACCTGGGTGGCTATTTCGATTATACTAACGTTAGCTAATGATATATATGCACAACCACTATAGTAGTTAGTTGACTCGGTTTGCTAATGTTACTAACGCTAAGCTAACGGTCCCATATCCGCCAGTTTATTTGCCAGAAGACCTTTAGCCAGCTGACCTAATTTAATGTCTAATGTCGGTGAACAGTTTAATTGCTAAGCCATTTATATTGACTGCTAATCATTATACTGTTATTAAAACATATGCGTGCACATACTAGTTGCAGATAGCTTAATTGCCGCTAACTAGCGGTGTACAGTCACCGAAGTTGCTTCGCCACTCCTTGAAACGATACAGCGTTAGTGCTATCTTAACTCGGTGACACTGCCATAACGTAGCGGTTTCACTTTACGTGTCGCCATAGATGGACTCACTCTAACGGAAGAGGAGAGCAACGCTAGCATGACAATGAGGCCATGTGTTACAAATGTCTCCGTATAAAGCGTTTCTTCCGCTTTTGAGAGATGTAGCCAGACTCATAACTAAGAAATGTATATGTAATATATGTTTACTGTAACTTAGCAAACTTTGCAGGGTATCTCAAATATTAACACATTTTTAAAAGTTTCTCTGCAACGCATAAAACTTGAGCGTCACTATTTAATTAAATATTAGAATAGAGCATAGTAAGGTTTTTCTGGGAAGAAGAGTGAGGAGACCAGCGCTGGTCTTTTTTCCTCTCTTATTTTCACCACCACAAACCATGATGTCACTTTACCTGTACAGGTATGTGCCAAAAAATTTGAATATCGAGGAAAAGTCCATTTATTTCAATAATTTGTTTCAAAAAGTGAAACTTGTATGTTATATTAGTTCACTACACACAAAGTGAAATATTTCAAGCCTTTATTTGTTTCAATTTTGATGATTATGGATTAAAGACAAAAAAAAACCCCAAATCCAGTATTTCACAAAATTAGAATAT